GTGGATCACCTGTGCAGAAAAGTGGATGGGATGTGGGCAGGTAGTGTGGAATGTAGGACATCCACCGGTCCTTATCAAAAGTACGCTCGAAATGAGTCGTTCACTTATTATCTTATCCGTAGTGTTCGATAGCCCAAAGAACTGCTCTCTAGTACTACGGATAAGATAGCAATGGAGTGCCCCCCCCCGAACTGGATTTCACAAAGTTGCGTAAACTCTCAGCGATCCCGTACGGAGGGTATTCCGACAGATGTCCTCGCGCGCAAAAAGAGGGCAGATTTGACGGAAGAGTGCACGCGTGCTGGTGGAGGCGTGTAGTGGCATATTTTACTTGAATTAACGACTAATTGCTGCACTATGAGCTGCGACTCGTCCGCTGACTGCCTACTTGCCGCGCGACGGGTTCTCTGTTGGGTACCCCCGGACCAATTAGGGACTATAGAAGGATGGATGGCCTGGCTGAACCACGAACGCCCTAGTTGAGGATTGACCCGCGAAGTGTATGCGCAAAAAGTAATGTCGCAGAAACTACATCACCTTCGTTTAGAGCAACCATAAGCCATTGAGAAATAGCTGAATCGTAGCTTCACCTCCCAGCCTTATTACCTTGCTGGTTGTCTTGGCTCTCTGCCTCACAAAGCCGTTTTTACAGTGAGAGGAAGCACGGATGGCCTGGTGAACACCGACCCCGCCCAGCCCCTCCCCTCACAAAACGCTTGATCGTATCCTATTTTTTGAGAGGCTCTACGAGAGGACAGATGTTGAGCTTCATGAAGCTGGATCGGATTTCACTGTTCGGTGTTATTCTCTTGCACCGGAAAACATGTAACCGATCTTCGATCTACTGAAAAACAACGCTAATCGCTTCAGTACGTACAAAATTCTTGGCCACAACCGGCACGTTGACCTAGCACTGGTCGCTACTTTTCAAGGAAAATTGAGGGTTGTGGCTCTCCCCCCCCCCCCCGGAAGGAGCGTTAGCTCCAAGTACTACGGCGAAAAAGAGATCCCAAGCGATGGTAAGAAAGTGCATCTTGATTTGAAAAAAAATTGTCTCAGCAGTGCGTTTCGCCCCGATCTCAAAACATAACGGCAAAATAGCCCTTTCCCAGACCCTCTGATATCGCACATCTGGTTCCCAAGTCTCGTCCCAACTGAAAAAGCCACCATTATAATCGCGTGCACTTTTCCAAGGAAACATCAACTCATATGTTTTCGACAGATGTATTTGAAACAAGGCCAAGTGGATGGCGTAAGTAAACGCCACGAGAAGAAAGGCCGAGGAGGTGAGGAGAATCGTGGGGGCTATCGCAAGATACGAGCGCACTGAAGAGGCAACGCATTCAAAACCACGTAAAACATCTCCATTTGTGTCCAAGTTCGACTTTGTATGAATCTTGGCATATTTTCAGAATAGAATAGTTTAGTACTGAGCTTCCGACCAAGATTGTCAATAGCTTTATTTGGCCGACGTTTCGGTGCTTTCACCTTCTTCAGAGCCTGGAAAAGACGAAAGCCATTTAGGAAACTACCCGTCCAAACACTATTTCAACCTACAAGAATCAGTGTTTGGACGGGTAGTTTCCTAAATAGCTTTCGTCTTTTCCAGGCTCTGAAGAAGGTGAAAGCACCGAAACGTCGGCCAAATAAAGCTATTGACAATCTTGGTCGGAAGCTCAGTACTAAACTATTCTATTCCATTTGTCTGAAATTCTTAAAACTTGAGAATCCTACTATTCTAAAAACAAGACTAAGCCTCAGTGGGGGGCAGAGCTTATTACGATTTTTATGTTGCAGCAAAGAGAGGTTGATTCTCTAGTTGGGTCTTATTCCAGTGGAACACGTGAAAATTGGTAATATTAGGGTGTAGGAGGGTAATCTACTAACTAGAGTTTCGAAAGGTTCAGGTATTAAAAACAACGGATTTGTTCAAAAAGTCGAGCAAAGTATCCTATATTTAACAAATTGGGTGGAAGGCAAAAAAGAATCGCAAGGATCATAATTGCTTTTTCGAGAAATACAACCTTTCAAAGACCCTTGGATTCATTCAAAATACCGGTAGTTCAGCACAGAGCAGGGTTTTTTTCGTACGTATGTAAACGAGGAGGGTAAACAAGTGAATAAAATAGCAGGTAACAGAGTTTAATGACCGGTAGCAAGTAAGTAAACAAGTAGAATCTGAACAAATTGAATTAGGCGTTGGAAACCCAGACAGGTCAGAAAGGACCTGTTCTGGGTTTTCCAACGCCTATTTCTGACGTGAGGTGCCGTCTTTTGTTTTTTTTTTTTTTCTTTTGTTTCGGTTTTCCTTTTCTCTTTTTTTTTGCCCGCCTTCTTTCCCCGGCTTTGTTTTCGTTAATTTACTACGCCCATTTTTTGGGCTGGCGTCGTTTAGACGTATGAAAATAAAATTTAAAAACAAATAAAATAAATCAGCTGTGCCAGAAAGACTTTTTCCGACAGCATCGAATCAATGTAATGTGCAGGCGGGTCTAATGAGAAAGATGAGCTATGAAAAATGAGAAGAACGAGCGCCACTGCTTTACCGCAGAAACACTTCTTCCTCTGTGATGGGCCTCATTACGGCCGCTGGAAGTACCCTTGAATGTTCGGCAAAAACATCTGCACGCCCCGTCCAGAGTACACTTCCGCGTGACATTAATGGCCTGAATACGGGGGCTTAATGTGTTTGCAACCGCACCCGCAGCCAGCTTATGCCTTGCGGTTGCAACAAGCTATAAATGGACAAGCCGGAAATGCTCATGCAGGAAGCAATTGCGGAATTCCCGACGGCTTGATTGCCCTGTTGTGTTTTTTGCTGAATATTTTCCAAGACATCTCTACTGTTTGCGTGAAGCGAAAGGGGCAAGACTTAGGTCAGTTGAAAATGAAGAATGAAGCATTTATCTTAAGGCAGTCACTGTTTGCCCAATGCGCAGCACTTGCACCTATACTTAGAATCGCAACGACAATCTAATGCAATTTGCAGACGGTGTATAAGTCGGTGATATTTGTCCTTCAAAAGGGGGTTCGCTACCCGGTAACCGATCTCAGAGACTTGGGGAAGCTAGTGGCCTAAGCAATTTTGATTTTCACAAATCTGAACTCGCAGACTAGCGCGTGCCTAAGCAGCGCCTTTTAACGCTACACCATCTCTGCCTATAAGTGCAGGATCGTTATTTAAAATATGCAAAAAAGCAAAAACGACCAAGAAAAGTTGTTTAAGAGTCGTGGCCTCATCAAGCGATGGGCAGGATAATGTCAGGCTTCAAACGCAATTCCCAAAGGAAGCCGTGCCCTGAGGGGTGGAAACGTAAGACCAGACTTTACCAGCAATCAGGGTTAACCGCCTTCTGAAGTTCTCAAGAAAGAGGATTTTTGGAAGTTTTGCTTGAGGATCGTACCTGAGGTCAGAGAATAGGGATCGTAACTAAGGTGTTTGATAGGTAGCGGACGGTTTTAGGAACAGGGAGGGAAAATTTTTGAAGTCCTCACCAAGAAATGTTGAAGTGCCCTACCCTTTCCAAAGATCTCCCAGGATGGAGGTGAAAGTAAAGTATGTCAAGTGGTGGCAGCTTCAACGGCACTATGGATGCCAACGACGTTACGCCCATAGGGACCCGTCCAGGAGACCCTCCCAATGTCAAAATTTTTGACGTAACAGTTGGCTCTGCTGTAATTAGCTGCAATGCTCGACTGCAGGTGGGATATGAACGGGGTCGGTAAAAAACATCATCGTTCGAAAGGGAGGGATATTCCAGATGGGTAGACCAACGCGCGGAAGCAATCGATAGATATGTTTTGCACAAGTGACATTCTCGAAACACGCCAAGTAAAAACACCGCCAGGCGAAATCCCGCGCTTCCTGCTGCTTTTCTATTTTGGCGTCATCGACGGCAAGCTTATCTATTCCTTGAGCTACTGACCTGGGAGACCTCAGGCATCATTGTGGGACGGTTTCCTTCTTCCTCCTTCCTTCAATTACCGTACCCCCTGCCGTTCAACAACATTAAAAGAAAACAACAAGACGCCTAATTGTTTGACTGTAGGCGTGGTTAGTAATGCCCACATATTCCATTAGAAAATGCTAAATTCCGGAGCCACAATAATTGCTGCCAAGTCATCAAGTTAGATAGGCGTGGCACATAGTTAAGTTGTTCCTGGAATCTACCCCTGTCGGCTTCAGCTGAATTAGTGCTACAGGCAAAAACTTTCTTAGGGGATTAGAAGTTCACCATCAGGTAATGGCAAATGGAGAGAGCGCTACCGGAAGAAAACCCTTATTTCTAAAAGTGGCTCTTTGGTGGTCGAAGCGAGAGAACAGGCCTGAAAATGAGAAAGCATAGCGGACAAGCGAGACGCAGACGCCAAAGCACTGGGGGTGGCGGAACCCCCACGAGGTGGCTTTTTTCAATTCCAATGGAAGCTTTCACGTATGTGTGTACCCCTATGTTAAATAACCTCGGTCAAGCCACCAAGCGACAAGCGTGATATCAACCCTCAAAATATCCTTGGAGTTCCCGTCTTTTTGATCAAACCAGTGATTCGGGCAAATAGGAAATAAGCGGTAAGATATATGAGCCAGAAAAAATAGGAGGAAAAAGAGCTGCTGCCGAAATGAAAAAAAAGCTAATTCAGTACAATTTAAATGGTGTGGTACTGAGCATGAGTGTCGGTGACGAGAGAGCATGGGGAAATAGTGAGACGCAGACATTAGGCTTCGCAGCGGTGGCGGGCTGAGTTTGCGATACGGCTATTTCTGATGGGATTGATAGCATCTATGGATGTTTATTTCGGTGCCGCATAAAATCGGCCAAGCCAACAAGTAAGTTGGTTCTGAAATTGATGGTCAGCTTGATCCGAAGAATCCCATTAGCTTCAATCAAACCAGTGCTCAAGAGAAAACCTTGCTCAGAAAATTGGGCGACAAAAAGCTAAGATGGAAACCAAATTGTATTGGGCCCGAGGGAAAGAAAGCTGATAGACAACTGCAGCAAGTCCTACGTATGCAGTTCAAAAACGGGATCCAATAGAATTCTTTGAATCTCATTCTGCTCTGCCTGAACGAATAAGTACTTCAATTCTTAAAGGGTAAACAGATTCATCTGTTCTTTCGTTGAACTTCAAGACTTCTTTGAAAGCTCTTTGGACATGAATTGCGACACTGCGACTGCTTGTTTACTAGGGCCGATTGAAAAGATCGAATTTCAGTTACGTTTGCCGATTCTATAGAAGAAGAAAGCGCTGATAGAATACGATGAATAGCAGATGCTTTCCTTGTTGAATCAAAAACTTTGCCTCGAAAAATGATGGTGACGAGAGGAGGCTGTCGTTGACAGCTCGGCGAAGGGAACCTACAAGAAACAGTAGCGGACAGCCGGGATAAGAATGCGGGATAAAAATGTAGGAGACTAAGCACTGACACAAAGGAGATAGGTAAAACGGTGAAACTTGAGTTTGGAGTGGGGGGGGGGGAGTGGCACTCCGTTATGCTCTCCAAGAATATAGATAAGAATAAAAGCGCAGCGGGCACGTTCAGAC